ACAGTAAGCTCTGGAGACAGCCCCAGGGCCGTGCCCAGACACCCTGTCCCCTTGGTGCCCAGACCAGAGCCTGGTACCAATAGATGCTCTGTTTACACTGGTTACATTCAACACTGGCTGAGTAAAAACTGGCTGGCCTTCAAGAGAAAGCCTCAGGCTAGCACCATCCATCTTCCAGAAGGATCCATATGTGTCCCTACCTGCCTGCCCGTGCGCTTTGATCAATGAGAAATCCCTGGGGCCAGGAGGGAGAATAAAGGCATTGCTCCTAATTTTACAAATGACCAGAAGATCTCCTGCAGTCCCTGGGGTAGCACGGCTCCAGGAAAAGGCTGCTAGCTCAGTCACAGAACATTTCGTGAGCATGGTGAAGTCACTGACGAAGACCCTAAATTTGCCACTAAGCCAAGTTAACTGGCAAAGCCAGAGCCAAGAATGTCCACTCAGAGAGGTGACACGTCGAGCCCCAGTGGGGACACATAAACAAGTGACATCCACATTCAGGGACCTTGGTCAAAGGTCTGAGGCAGTGCACTATGATAGGAAGGTTGCTGAGTCGGGGTTCAAATCCTGGGTGCTCCGGCTCCGCAGCCCAGCTCCCCTCTTCCTAAGGCCTCGGCACCCACGCTGTCAACCCCATCCCAGTCTGCTTCTACGAGGTCCTTTGGCCAGCTCAGAACCGTTGCTAGTGTTTGATTTTACCTTTTGTCTGCGTCTGGGGTGCACCCAGGTATGTATAACTTCCCCGCAGCAGCACGGGGGTCTCCTGGCCGACTAACCATGTCCATGTGGCTCTCCATCGCTAGAGAAGCAGGCCACCGATCTCCCAAGGGTCCAGGATCTGGAGGACACATCCTAACCAGCCATGAGCCCCACCACCCTCGTGGAGGTGGCTCCAGGGCCGAGCACCCCCAAGCCAAGATGCCAGCTTTCTGGATGACACAAAAAACTTTCTTGTCACATGGGCTGCAATTCATGGGTCACCGTTCAGTCTACAAGTGTCCTGGGTGATCCAAATTCACAGCTAGGGGTTGGGGGACTCAAATCTGCGGCCAAAGTTTGTTCCAGAAGAAGCAGGGTCTAGTCACCTCCAAAGCAGAACCCAAAAGAGAGAAGTCAAGAAGGAAACTCAAGGGCACAGGAGACCTGTACACTGAGCCTGGCCCTGTCTGGCCTGCAGAAACAGGTCACGGTCCAATGTGGGCACAAGGGAGGAACCCACTTCTTTGAAAATGGGACTAAAACTCAGGAAAAGGGAAGCCATGGTGAAACTGTCCACTTGTGTTTTAAGCAGATTGTCTTATAGTTTATGAGGAGCAACCAGGGCATAAAGGGGACAAAAGATCAGAGTGTTGCCTATAAAGCGGTTTGCCAAAAAAATTTAATTTGAACTGGATCAGGTCTCCAGATCTATTAACAGTTTACAGAAAAATAGAACAGATGAAGGAACATGTTATAAAAACGTGGTGAGCCAAATGTCAAATGTAAGGAATTCTACAGGACAAACCACCTCTTCAACTAAGCAGCAAGACAAACAAAAAAGATTAAGAGCTATTACCCACCCAATGCAATTTGTAGACCTTACTTGGGTCTGATTCAAACAAACCAACAGAAAAGAAGACATTTATGCCACGGCCCACGAAATCCGACCACCTGGATATTTAATGATAAACAGGAATTAAAGTTGATTTTTGTAGGTTTGATAATGGCCTTGTGGCTATTTTTTTTTTTTTTTTTTTTTTTTTTTTTTTTTTAAGAATCTTTGTCTCAAGGGGTGCCTACGTGGCTCAGCCAGTTGAGCATCCAACTCTTGACTTTGGCCCAGGGCAGGACCTCACGGTCATGAGACCAAGCCCCGTGTGGGGCTCTACACTGTGTGGAGCCTGCTTGGGATTCTCTCTCTCCCTCTCTTTCTGCCCTTCCCCTCCCCTCCCTCTCTCTCTCTCTCGCTCTCAAAATAAATAAATAAATAAATAAATAAATAAATAAATAAATAAATAGTAAAAAAGTAAAAATAAAGAATCTTTATCTCTTAGAGATACATTCTGAAGTATTTAAGGATGGAGTTATATGATGCCTGACATTTGCTTTAATTAATCCACTGGGGGAGAATAAACACCAGCAAGGCTGGTCTGTGCTGAGAATTACAGCAACTGAGTGATAAGTAGGTAAGTGTTCATTATGTTCTCTGTGCTTTTGTCTAGGTTCAGGATTTTATAAGACAAAATTTTTAATTACAGAAAAAAAAAAGGCAAGAGAAAGCCCTCATGTTTAATCAGGGCTCCAACATAGACTCTCTGGGAGGCTTTAAACAACCTTAACCTTGCTGAGCCTCATCCAGAGCCTGAATGGCTTCAAATCCTGGCTCATCCCCGTTTGCCTTGACCCGATTTCCTAACCTGTCTGTGCTCCGGGCCCTTACCAGTATGACAGGAATGATGACAGTCCTACCACGCAGGGTGGAGATGAGGAGTAAACGTGTTAATTCACATGTAAATATTCACAGCGCATGCAGCATGGTGGAAGTGTTTGCTGTTACTACTGATGCTACCGGTGATCACTCTTATTATTTTCATCTCGATGGGGAAGAGAAGACTCTTTTGGAGAGGCTGTCCTCCCTCCCAGGACACCAAAGGTCCAGAAATGTTTCCCAGCTCTTCCTGATCACGCTTCCTCCACAAGCTCACACCTACATTCTCCTCTTCTAGGAGGTGAGAATTGTGTCCTCACTTCCTCCACTTTTACTGACAATGTCCCCTCTTGGAGTGTCTCCCCTTGGCCCGTTTTCAAGCCCACCTCTCGCATTCTTGTTCCTGGAGGGTACAGTGGGCGGAAGCAGCCTCCCTTCCCCACCCCTTCTCTCTCCCTCTCCCCTGGGACGCCACCTCTTACAATGCCCAGAAGGACCTCTGTAGATCAGGAAACGGTGGGGTGGAGGGAGGGGAAGTTAGAAAGAACTCAGAACTTATGAATGCATAAATGCTGAACTTTTTGGAAATGGATGGGCCCAGTGCCAGTCCTCGCCAGGGCTCCTTGATTCTATTCTTTTTACAAAAGGGCCATTATGAAGGCTCTGCATCTCCCGTGTGACAGGTTGGGAGCCATAAAACTGCATGACGTCACAGGGACCAGGCGATGAATAGGTTTCCCAGCCATGTCCTTATTCTCAAGGGCACTGGGATCCTGGAAAGAGGTCCGTGGGAGGGAGGGGGCCACTTCAGGGGGCCGTGCACCAGTCCCAGCTGCTCCACAGAGGGGCCTCCACGGCCCCCTGCCCCCCTGCCCCAGACGTCAGGCAGAGCACCCGATATCCCAGCCACCCGAGGCCGCCTCCCGAAATCCTGGAGCACCTTGGTGGGTTACTGTGCCCCCGTCCTCACTACAAGTCAAAGCCAGGCACTTGGCGCATCGGGCCCCACAGGACATCCTGGAAGAGGAGCACCGCCCCCCAACCTCTCCTTCTGCACATTTCCTTTTGGAACCATTTCTTTTCTACCAGACAAGAGAGTTCGTGCGGCCAAGTTAGGAAAGCGTATGCTGGCAGTCAGGCCAGTGGACTCCCAGCCTATCTGTGTCATTACTAACTTGTTGGAGTCCCTGTTCCCTTTCCTGTAAGACGAGGAGGCTGCAGTTAATTGTTGAAGTCCTTTCCAGTTACAACGGTTCTGCTTGTTTTAAGGAAGTGCGTGCCACTCCCTCCACCAAACCGTGCCCGTGGCTCGACTGGGACCCATACTCTTTGCCTTTGCCCGCTCATCTATATTCAGAGTGACCATCAACCAGCTCTCCCCTCCCTCTCCCCCATCTCTCTCTCTCCTTCCTTCCCTCCATCTCTCTTTCTCTCTCACACACACACACACACACACACACACACACGTCCCTTGAGACCAGTACGAATGGAGAAGTCTGGGTCCAGGTGTATCCAATTTCCCCTTGCAGCTCTGAAGACACTCATTTGCATACTATTTCCATGCATCCAGATGGACATGGACGCTCATTTCCATGAACGTATAGAAGACGTTACAAATAACCAGCACAACTTCTCTGACAGCTCAATACTTCCGAGCCCTGAAATGGGACCAATAAAAGTCTCACTAGGTACACCAGTGGTCTCCTGAGGCTTTGGGGTATAGGAAGAAAGTACTAGAACTTCAATGCACACTTATTTTTATCACATCCTCTAAAATGTTCTGTTTCAATGTATGCTTTATACTCTTCAAACCATATTAGTATACTAGGATATGTAATACGCATATCATGGGGCTCCAGGCTCAAAAAGATCTTATATATGGGGTCCATGATCAGAAAAGGCTGGAGCCATCATCCCTCTAGACCATCCACCAAAGCTGGAAGCAGTTACAAAGCAGTTACAAAGGTTTGGGTCCAACCATCAAAGCTACCATCCAGGTAACCCTCCACCAAGACCACACTGGCCACAGACACCAAAGAGGGCATGGGTCCAACCACCTGCCAACCCCCTTGGGGCCTCCTGGCATGTGGTGTTGCCTTCCCCGCAGAGGTCTACTCTTGCTGTGAGTTCCCATAACTGAGGCTCATTTTAGCCAAAAGAACATGGGCGCCCACCCAAGGAACCCACTCTCTTTCCAGAACAGTTGGCCATGGCCTTCGAGACTTCTTTTATTTCAAGAGCATACATTCCATTCAAGGGTGAGGGGTGTTTGAAGAGAAAGTGATGGTCTTTCTAGATCTTCTCTCTGGGATTCACTGAATTAGACCAGATGCATTTACTATTGGACAGAGAAAACATAAGCTTGGTCTTTAGACAGATGATAGACGAAAATAAAGAAAAAACAAATTGGCTTTCTGGAGAACTGTCACGTGACTAGGGTTGGGAGGGTTCCCAGAGACACAGGCCGCTAAGAGTGAAGGAACTTTGTAGAAGGTAAGTCATTGTTTGATGGGTTAGGACTTCATCGTTGCCGGGTTAGGACTTCACCGGAGCACAGGGCACAGGGAGCCTGAGATGCTGGGATACTCACCCACACACTGGTTGCTTTCATCCATCTGGTATCCAAAGCGGCATATAAGAGGCCTCGAAATCGTGGGGTAGTTTGGAGCTGATAGCGGTGGGGCCGCTGCTGGGTACGGACCTGAGTAGGGGTTCGAGTAGGGGTTCGAGTAGGGCCCTCGGTACACTGGGTTTGTTCGGGGGATGCATAAATACCCGCCATTTTGGTTAACACACATCATGTCTCCTCGGCAGGCCTCAGGGATGGTCCGGCATTCATCAATGTCTGGAAGGGCCACAGAAGAGGATGAGAGTTAGTGGCTCCCTGGCCACACCGTGCATGGTGCATATTGAAGCAAAGGACCCCAAAACACTCTTTACCCCAGCACCTGCTCCCAAACAGTGAGGGCAGACCGTGGCTCATCACCGCAGGCATTCCCAAATGTTGGCTAAATTGAATCAAGTTGGCCAGTGTCACCCAGAGACCACATCACAAGCTGGACCACATCCACAAAACCCAAGCAAACACTACCAATTAACATAAATAGAAGGTGACAGTAGCAATGAATATATAACCACTAAAATAAAGAGTGTTTTATCTGTGAGTGTACCATCTAAAACCATCTCTGGTGCTCCCATGTGCCCATAGGATGCTCAGGAAACACCGCGATGGACCTAATCATTGTTCCCACTTCAACTCCAAGTGACAGCTGGGCAGGGGAGAGAGTCCCTTGCATCAAGGAAGACAAGGCTTGGCTGAGAGCTAGTCACTTGTTAAGAAAGTGGAGGCTTACTTGGAAGTCAGCTCACACAGGGCCACCAGACGGGCCCGTTTCCAGCCCAGGCTGGTGTTCCACCCGGAGCAGAAAGTAGGTTCCCTAGAAAATCAGCCACGCTAGGCTGGCACGGGGGACGCCTGGCCTCTGGCTCCAGCACGGGCAGCCCACTGCCTGAACCCGCACACGGGGCCCTCTCACCATCCTTGAGATCGTTCCATGGGGGAACAGAGGCTGGGGGAAAGACGCCTGGGTCCCAACAGCTCACCCCAGCCAGCTCATCCAAGAAATGCACCCCAACTCTCACCTCAGGAAAGGGTAATGTGGAGGCTCAGCTGCCCCATTCTCTAGCTGTAGGCCTGAGACCCTCCGTAAGTCTGAAGGGACAGAAAAAAATGGCCGCTGCCCCCTCTCACCCCTTGGCCCATCCTTGTCCCCCAGCACCTGGACTCAAAGTGCAAGCCTAGATTTTCCAGGGTTCTCACCACTCGTCATTTTTTGGAACCATCTATCGCCCCTCCGGTTCTCAGCTGATGTGAGCTCAGGGAAGACAAATGATCTGGCTTCAATCAAATGTAATTAAAAAGCTAAATTCATCCCGGAGGTGGGGACAGGTGGGGCTGCCTTATTATCTTTTGACATATGCTATGCTCCACCCACCACAAACTATGCTATACTCAACGTCCTTTCCACCCCTGGTCTTTGCTTCTGCCGTTCCTTCACCTGGAATGCGGTTTCTCGGGATCCTATTCGTCTGTCAGTGCCCAATTCAAGTGTGGCCTCCGTGAAGGCTTTCTTTACTGACCCCTGACATAAGACCTCACTCCCTCCCCTACTTTTGCAGGGCCCATTGCTGTCACCTTAACTTTGCAATGGCTTTATTCCACCATGTACAGAGTTCACTCCCGTCTGGGTCTGCCTCTCCCACTAGATGACGTACTAGGAGGATAGCCCCCAAATGTCAATCCTAATCCTCGGAACCTGTGACTGTATCAGGTTACCTGGCAAAGGAGAATGAGGCAGCAGGTGGAATTAAAGCTGCTAACCAGCTGGGCTGACCTTCAGACGGAGGGATTACGTGGGTGAGCGCAGTGTAATCACCTAAGTCCTTAAAAGCGGAAGAAGAGGAGGCGAGAAGGGTTGATGATGTGGGGATGTGACGATGGGAAAAGAAGAGATCCCAGAGCCCGTGAGGGACTTAACTCACGGTGGTGACTCTGAAGATGGGCGAGGGGACCATGAGGCTGGGACTGAGGAGGCCTCTTGAAACCGGGAAAGGTCCTCTGCTGACGGCCAGCAAGGACACAGGGGCTTCAGTCCCACAACCACCAGAAGCTTAATTCTGTGGGGCTGTAAACTGGTGCGGCCACTACACAAAACAGCATGGAAGCTCCTCAGAAAATTAAAAACAGGGGCACCTGGGTGGCTCGGTCGGTTAAGCGCCCGACTTCAGCTCAGGTCATGAACGCGCACAGTTCGTGGGTTCGAGCTCCACGTGGGGCTCTGTGCCGACAAGTCAGAGCTTGGAGCCGGCTTTCGATTCTTTCTCTCCCTGTCTCCCTGCCCCTCCCCCACTTGCAATCTGCCTGTCTCTCAAAACTAAATAAACATTTACAAAAATATTTTAAAAAATTAAAACATAGGGGAGCCTGGGTGGCTTGGTCGGTTGGGCATCTGACTCTTGATCTCGGCTCAGGTCATGATCTCACAGTTCATGGGGTTGAGCCCCATGTCAAAGGATTCTGCTTAGGATCTTCTCTCTCCCTCTCTCTCTCTCTCTCTCTCTCTCTCTCTGCCCCTCTGCCCCGCTTGTGCGTGCTCTCTCTCTCTCAAAATAAATAAATAAACATTAAAAAAATTAGCAACAGAACTACCATATGACCCAGCAATCCCAATTCTGGGTATTTATCCAAAGGAAATGAAAACAGAATCTCAAAGAGATGTCTGCACTCCTGTGCTCACCGCAGCACTATTCACAACAGCCAAGGCCTGGAAACGAGCTAAGTGTCTGTCAGCAATGAATGGACAGAGGTGGGTTTATAACCAGATACATAGCTTCACACACACACACACACACACACACACACACACACACTCATATTTATACACATACTCAATGGAATATTATTCAGCCATGAGAAAGAAGGAGATCATGCCATTTCCGGCAACATGGACGGCCCTGGAGAGCGCTATGCTAAGTGAGATTAAGTCAGACAGAGAAAGACAAACACTGCATGATCTCACTTACATGTGGCATCAAACAGAGCTAAACCCATAAAAGTAGTGAGTAGAACGGGGGCTGACGAGGGCTGGGGGCTGGAGAAGGCCGGGAAAGGGACAAACAAAGAAGATGGGTAAGTGCCCCCGTACAGTCAGGTGCAGCACTGGGAGGACAGTGGACAATACTGAACTGCATGCCTGAAAACTGCTGAGAGAGCAGATCTTAAATGTTCTCATCATAAGAAAAGAAACGTCATTACGTGCTGTGACGGAGGCATTAGCAAATGCTGTGGTGGTAATCATATTGTGATACAGAAGCATATCAAATCAAGTTGTGCACCTTAAACTCATACAACGTTAGGTGTCAACCATATCTCAATTTAAAAAAAAAAGGGAACTGGGGCGCCTGGGTGGCTCAGTCACTTAAGCATCCGACTTCGGCTCAGGTCATGATCTTGCGGTTCATGGGTTTGAGCCCCACATCGGGCTCTGTGCTGACAGCTCAGAGCCTGGAGCTGCTTCGGATTCTGTGTCTCCCTCTCTCTCTGCCCCTTCCCCACTCATGCTCTCTCTCTCTCTCTCTCTCTCTCTGTCAGAGATAAATAAACATTAAAAAAATCAAAAAGAAGAAAGAAACTGAATTCTGCCAACAACACACATGAGCAAAGGCAAGGATTCTCCCCTAGAGCTTCCAGAAAGGGGAAAAGCTTTCCTGGCCCCTCGATGTTGGCAGGATCTACGAAGTGCTACCCCTGTAGCACTTCTGACCTACAAATAATATAGATAACGATCTACAGATGAGCTGTAAGATCACTTTCTGTCGTTCAAGCCACTCTATTTGTAGCAATCTGTTACGGCAGCCACAGCGGACAAATACAGATGGAGAGCCCCTCGGGGACGTGGCCCAGTTCTCCCTCATCTTCGCCCCCCGCAGGCCTCAGTCCCGGGCTGGGCACACAGAAAAGGATGGATAAAAGGGCATTATTGACTTCAAGCATTCTGTGGCCCTGTTTTCTTCCATAATCCAGGCCAATACAGATTTGATAACATCGAGCAACAGCTGGGTAGGAAACAACCCGGCAATCAGTCTGTCCCTGAACGCCCCACCCGGCACAGGATCCTCAGTGGCCTCATACCTAAACACTGTCCTGACGAGCGGTCCAGATCGAAACCGTTAGTGCATTGTTGCTGCAGGAAAGGAGAGAGGAGAAAGAGGTAAGGCCAATTTCTTGGCTGTTTTTTTTTTTTTTTTAACTATAAAAGTATTACAAGGACATCACAGAAAGTTCAGGAAATGAAGTAAAGAAAAAAAAGCATCCATAATACCAACACCTGTATTATAATACCTATTTGCCCGCTCTTCGTTGGAGTATTTTCTTATAATCATTTTACACTTAGCATTCCCCTTTAACCGCCACCCCCCCACCCCAACACACACACGCCATTGCCTCAAAAATTTTAGCAGATCTGGGACCATTTCCTGCCCTAGTTATGAAGAGCAGTGATAATCACACCTAATCTGCCTGATGATGAGCCACATTCCGTGTTTGCATCTTTCTGGGAATGGATAGGACTGCTTTTAAGGGCAATCACTCTCTTCCTCTGGGTGCCATCCGACCTCCTCTCCTCCAGGCCCGCTGTGGGTGCCCTGCCCCCTGTGAGATGCCCTAACCTAATCCTCTAACCTAAAAACTACACAGTGAGGCAGTCCGTTTTCTACGAAAACTAGAATTGGGGAAATCTCTCCACTTCAATCTCAGCAAGACAATTACACAAAGATGCTTCTAGAAATAGATCTCAACAGTCCCCACAGGGTGCGGTTTTCACAGGCAACTTGAGTTACAACTTTATGAACTTCGGAAAGTGTCATGGGGGCCGACAGTAGGCCTCTGGGGAAGACCCTGGAGACAGACATTTTATAGGAGTACAGGGAAAAGGAATGTTTCCGGCTACAGGAACCCCGTCCCTGGCCGTCCCTGAGCTTTCAGGGGTTTGGCTTCTCTGAGCTCTGGGCTGGTTTGCGGAGATGATGGATTTGGCTGGCATTCATGGGAGTGGGCTCAGGAGTGTTAGGTCCCTGGGGCAAAAGAAAAGGAGCAAATGAGCCAGGAGGCTGTGCCGTCCAGCTTGGGAAACCAGGGGACCCAAGTCCAGCCCTGGATCATCAACTAAGCACCAGTGGGGGGGGGTTCGATTCCGCCAGCCCGCCTGGCTTCAACTTCCTACTCCAGCCGCTACTCACCATACAACTTTCGATGCCTCCACATCCTCACCTTTAAATTGGGGGCAACAGTACTCACTTCGGGGTGGTTGTAACGACCGGAGGTGTTGATGTATGCCAGGTGCCCAAAGCCCAGTAAACACAGTACTGGGACCATCACCCTCCCCAGGCCTGAATGTCACCACCTGTCACCATGAGGCTGGGTCAGAGGACTCCAAGGTCCTCCCAAGATCTAAGTCTCTGTGACTCTTCCTTAGATCCTTTCCATCCCCAATAGCCTGAATCCATTTCGAAATTCTTAACAGGAAGCGAAAGAACATTCCCCCACCTGCCTGTGGGCCCTCAGCCCTGCTCAGTGAGGCCTTGAGCCAGAGACAAAGAGGCTGCTCTGGGTTTTCAGGAAGGATGTGCCCACATTCTCAAAGGCTGACACAAATGTGGCTTAATAAAGTCTGGGTGCTACAGGCCTCCGGGGCCTGACTCTGCCACCCTCCACACTCCCCAGGGGGCTCCGCCCAGAGGTGGGTCCTCTGCCCACCTCCTCCAGCCAGAAATGGGTCTGTGGAGACACAGAGACTCACGTGGGCGCCACCGCCCTCAAGGACTACAGCACCTTTGACTTTTTAACATTTACCATAAATCGAGACCCAAGGGACACAAGTAAGGCAGCAGATCCGATCAGAAGTCCTGGATTGGGAATCAGGACACTGAGGTCCCAGCCCTGCCATCTATAAAGTACGACCTGGGGCAAGCGTCAACTTCTCTGAGCCCGGCTTTGATCTCTGTACGACCCAGAGCTCGGCTTGGGTGAACTGCAAAGCCCCTCCCAGCCCCACAATCCTAGGATTCTGAAATGCGTGGCTGGACACCCTCACCCTGATTTTTAGCACGCTTCTAGATAATACACAAAATAAAAATCATACCTGTGCATTCCCGGGACTCGGAAGACAGAGAGCCAGAATGGTAACGGTGAGTATCCTGCAGAGCAAAAAGCCGGTATGTCAATGCCCAAGAAACTTCCAGAATCAAGGTCTGGGGATAAACATGGGTCTCATGTTGCCCATGCATTTGCAATGGTGACTCCACCGGGTGCTTATATATGGTGCTCCAGAGGTCAAAGTGGACTCCAGATGCCCCCAAGCACCCCAGACAGAACCATTCTTCTACTGGCTTCATATGTTGGGATAATGTGTTAGATAACTTTTTTTTTTTTTTTTAGTAAAAGGTTTTGCTGCTTCAAAGACAAAACTCTAAAACCCACCGCTGTGGCACACACTAAGTCCTGACCAGCGGCTTGGTCTTCACTTCTGACACAAGGAGATCTGCCTGAGTTTTGAAAGTCTTTATTCCGAGATGGTTACAGAGAGAACAAGCCTCAAAAGATGCAAGGAAACTGCAAATGTGAAGCACCTGAGTTTCTATGGAAGAGAGGGGTCTCGCGAAAGTCGCCTAATCCCAGGGCATGTGTCCCACGGGCCCCGATGGCGAAGAGGGGCTGGGGCACCTGGGCAGCTGGGAGAAGAATGAACACAGAGGCAACGCTTGGGAGGAGGAGTCTGGAAGCCCCGGGTCAGGCTGGCTCTCCATTCACAAGCCAGCAAACCTCTCTGAGCTTGCGAGTTCTACCCTTCATCGCCCACAAGCTTCTATCCAATAAAATCATGGTCACCAATATGCTTTCAAAACACAAAATAGTGGGGCACCCCGGGGGGCTCAGTCAGTGAAGCGTCCGACTTCGGTTCAGGTCATGATCTCACGGTTTGTGAGTTCGAGCCCCGCATCGGGCTCTCTGCTGTCAGCGCAGAGCCTGCTTAGGATTCTCTGTCTCCCTCTCTCTCTGCCCCTCCCCCCCTCAAAAACCAACAAACATTTAAAAAATATACAAAATAGATACCACCTCACATCCATCAGGACAGCTATAATCGAAAGAGCAGAAAACATGTGTTAGCAAGGACGTGAAGAAATTGGGGCCCTTGGGCACTGTTGGTGGGGAGATGATGCAATCTGCAGCCGCGGGAGCAGCGCCCCAGAATATTAGAAATGGATTTACCATATGATCCAGCAATTCCACTCCTGGGGAAACACCCAAAAGAAGTGAAAGTAGGGACCTGAAGAGATATATGTACACTCATGTTCATAGCAGGTAATTCACGACAGCCCAAAGGGGAAAACAACCCACGAGTCCGTCGACAGATGAATGAATAAACAACATGCACACCGAGATATTATCCAGCCTTTAAAAGGAAGGAAATTCTGACACCTGCTGCCACATGGATAAACCTTGAGGACGGCATACTAAGTGAAATAAGCCAGTCACAAAAGGATAAATTCGGTATGATTCCATTTTGACGTAGAACAGTCAAAATCCTAGAGACAGGGGCGCCTGGGTGGCTCAGTCGGCTAAGCGTCTGACTTCAGTTCAGGTCACGATCTCACAGTTTGTGAGTTCTAGCCCCCCATCGGGCTCTGTGCTGTCAGCTCGGACCTGGAGCCTACTTCAGATTCTGTATGTCTCTCTCTCTCTCTCTCCCTCTCTTAAAAATAATAAATAAACATTAAAAAACACTTAAAAATCATATAGACAAGGAGCAGAATGGCGGGTGCCAGGGGCTGAGGAGAAGAAGGAACGGGGCGGTAGCGTTTCTTGAGGACAGAGTTTCAGTGTTGCAAGATGAAAAGGGTTCTAGAGATTGACTGCACAACGTGAAATGTACTTAACGCTACTGAATGTATGCTTAAAAATGGTTACAATGGCTTTTAAAAAAAATCTGTGTCTGTGAAGAGCTTTATTTATTGCTATTAGTGCTATTAGCGTTTAGTTCAATAGTGATTTCTCTGGGCAACCACCACTTGCCAACACAGACCCTAGACGGAAGAGCTCCCAAAACTATGACTCAGTCGCTGCCATGGGGAGCTGGTTGTAGAGCCACTCGATAACGTCTCTACGCTTTGTATAGAGGGACACTGGGAGAAACACCCAGAGAGCACCATAACAGCCAGGCTCGAAGCAGAGACAGGAAGGTCAGAGAAGGCTTCCTGGAGGAGGTGATCTTGAAGACCTGCTCCTATCCATATACACCTCCTCTTTAAAATCGCTCCCTTCATGAAAAGAATGTTCGATACATTACAAAGCTCACTCAATCCATGACACAAGGCCCATCTCGATCAGCAACACTGGGTACTTGGAGGGCCCCAGGATTGAGGTGACATCCAGAGGGAACAGAACCCTGATGTGGTGCTAGAAGACGCAGGCCCTCTTCCTTCCTCTGGTCCCTGATCCAAAGAATAAAGACCCTGAGAGTCCACACGCTTTCATTTCGTGTAAGTGCCTGTGTGAGCCAGGTTCTAGAACGCCGGAGACAGCTCTGACCTTATAAAGTGCAGAGCCAAATCCGAGGGTTTTTTGATATTTGCGACGGCCAGATTTATATCTGGAAGGAATGAAAGAACAATAACAAATTTATTTTCCAAGCTGTATATTATGAATTTCAATGTTTTCCTGTTTCTTCACATGAAGTTTCCTTTCGCTTGGTTATAAAACCCTGTCTCGTTTATGTTGGAGACAGAACAGCCTGACTGAATGCAGTGGGCTCCAAGAGCGAGTGGAAAAGCCATGCTAACCCCATTTCTCCCCCTACTCCCGCCTGCCTGTTCCCTTTGGCCGGAGGGCAGCTCTGGGACAGGGCTCCTCTGAGAGGTCCAGCCTGCAGCCCAGCCTCCTGGGAGAGCCACAGCCAGGTCCTGAGGGCCAAGTCAGTTCCAGGCTGATCGAGAGGGTTTTCCGAAAATGAAAGAACCCACGCCCTTCTGCTCCCACGGTCTCTCAAATAGTTACACCTTGTCACGAAGAACTCCAGAACACTCGAAAAACTATAGGAGTTCTAGGGGAGCCTCTGATGTTCCCAACTGGTCCCCGGAACTTTCAACATCAGGTGGGTCCACCCATTTTGTGCACCAGCCTAAACTGCAAGGAAAGCCAGAGAGACCAACGGTATCTCAGGGCTGTCTGTCACAGAAGTGCTGGTGGCCAGGACAGGCATCACACACACACACACACACACACACACACACACACACACACACACAGAGTTCATGTGTCTAAAGCAAGCCACATTTTCAAGAGTTCCATAGATAAAAGACTGCAGATATAATCTAAAGTTCTTCAAGGTTGAAGGCTTACTTGACTGGAATTGGAATTTCCTTAAAGAACAGCAAAACCTTTGCTTACATGTATTTCTGTCTGTAGTCCCCGCTTCTCATTGGCTTGAAACTTCTGGGTCGCATGCCCTTTGTGAATCCCACACAGACATAGAGCAAACCCAAGTTGGGGATGTCCAGCTAGCCCGGCCGCTTGTCCAACAGCCAATGCAACAAAGTAATTGCTAGTAATTGCTAGAGAACTAGCAATTGGCCCCCCAACTTCAGAAACAGATATATATCCTAAAACGGCTGCCCGTTGGGAAAAGAAAGGAGAGTCGGGCTCCGAGGGTTCTGCAGCTCTCTCCGGGACGCGGACTTCTGAAACTGTGTTATAAAATACCCACTCCCGAAAGAAGGCTTCAAGATGGAAATTACAAAGGCGCAGCTTTTTATAATTAACAGTATCATTGCATCACTAGCTAATGCCTTTTCCAACATCCTGACACAGCCTGAATCCCAGCCATAGCCATTTTCCACCCCTCGGGTTTTTCAGTAAGCTTTCCAGACCCTGGAGGAAAAAGTCCT